TTTTGTATTCCCCACATTGCTGATTAATTAAAGGAAGATAGAGTTCATCTCTTACCCCATTTGTATTCCTCATTATAGCACGTGCCTTCATATGTTTTATGGTGGAGTTTTTTTCTTGCAGTTTTTTCATGATTGATATTTGATTCTAAGTTATGCATTGACGAGTTTCATGAAATCCTCTCTCGATCTCTCTGAATCATTGTTATTTGGCTCTTTTTTAGTGCTACTTATCTATTATAGATATGAAGAATATCTGAAGTAAATATCAAAGTATTTGAAGAAAAATGCTTAGGATGAGCGATGCAGTTGTGTAGGATTTTTGGTGATTTTTATGTAGTCGTGTAGGATTCTGGTGATTTGAGTTTGTTCGTGTCTTTAGGGACGATTTAAATATGCAGATAGATAGTCATGTTTTTTGCATTCTCAATCTTTTTTGATATGTGTTGGGATCCCATGCTACATATGTAACTAATAGTTGTCGTTTAACTATTTTAATTTTTATTTTAAGTAAGTCTACATAATTGTCAAGATTTGCAAATTTTATATACATAATTCCTCAATATTAGCTTATTGCTAACTTCTGATTTTTTTAACTAAAATTTTTATTCGTTTAAGTTGTGGGATTTGCTACGGTTGGAGACTTAGATTATTGACAATATGTTTGATCCTTGGTATAATTTTCTATTGCCTCTTTCAATATTTAATTTTTACTCTTCTCTATAATGAGAATTTTTTTAAAATTATATTTGCAGCGAGCTTATTTGTTGAATATTGTTATTTATTTTAATTTTAATTTATTAGTATTTTAATTTGCTTTTATTGGTTTAAATTTATACTTGGCATCCCCCGCTTTATTTTTAATTCAATTTTCTTCTATGATGTCCATATCATATATGTACTCACATTTAGGACTAATTTTTATTTTTAATATCTTTTATATTTTTTCATATTCAATTTTGTAGTTTTTAGGTATAAAATTAAATTGATTTCTCCAAGAAACTTCATTATTGAAAAATAGAACCAAATTTTTGGTTAAAATATTGAGAAAGTCTTTCAAAATAGATTGAGATGTATGATAAAGTTGAGTAAACGCTTTGTATGATACTTTCCTCCCCTCGTCTCAAGCTGTCATTGGCCGTCTCATTCCTTCTCCTCTCTCTCTCTCTC